AGAGGTGCTGTCACGCCTTCTTCACGACTGTGCTCGTGTGTGGACCATTTTTAGTTCTTAGTGATTTGGACACTGAGGAACTTGAAGCTCTCGACCTGCTCCACTGCAGCCCCATTGGTGTGGATTGGGGCGTGCTCACCCCCCTTTCCTGTAGTCCACGATCAACTCAGCCTTTCTGACGTTGAGGGAGAGGTTGTTGATTTTAACACTCCAATTCTTATGCTGAGGTTAAAATTGTGTGTGTGTGTGTGTGTTGTTAGGGTGATCCTGTTCTGAAGGATGAGTAGTGAGTCATGACTTTGTTCCTTCTTTCCATGTATTTGTTCACCTGTTGACTGCCTCTCTGCAGCTGTGGGTAAAGGGGGAGGACACACAGACCTTCCTTTGGCCCTGACCAGGGCTTAGTGGTGTAACTAACTAGGGGAGACAGGCCTTGTGTTGAGCTGATTGATATTAAAGAGATTCTCTTGTTGTCTAGGTGCTCTGAGACACAGGTCACACTGGCCCACTGAAGGACATGCTCTCTCTCTCCTCTCTCTCCTCTCTCCTTTTCTCTCTTCTCTTTCTCTCTCTTCTCTCTCTCTCTCTCTCTCTCCCCCTCTCTCTCTTTCTCTCCTCTCTCCTTTTCTCTCTTTTCTTTCTCTCTCTTTCTCTCTCTCTCTCTCCTCTCTCTCTCTCTCTCTCTCTCTCCTCTCTCTCTCTCTCTCTCTCTCTCTCTCTCTCTCTCTCTCTCTTCTCTCTCTCTTCTCTCTCTCTCTCTCTCTCTCTCTCCCTCTCTCTTTTTCTCTCCTCTCTCTTTTTATCTCTTCTCTCTCTCTTTCTCTCTTTTCTTCTCTATCTTGTTTTCTCTCTCTCTCGTTTCTCTCCTTGTTGTTTTACATCCTACCTGTTGCTGCTCTGTCTCCCCATCCACAGAATTATATACAGTCAATTATAGGATCTCTATGCCCCAATCGCTCTGTATTTTTCTTCCCCATCTCTCTCTCCCCCCCCCTCTCTATTTCTCCCCTTCTCTCTCTCCCTCCCCTATCTCTCTGTCTCTCTCAATCTATCTTTCTCACTCCCTCCCCATCTCTCTATCTCTCTCCATCTCTCTCAGTCCTTCCCCATCACTCTCTCTCTCTTTCCCTCCTTCCTTCCCTCCCTCCACTATCTCTCTCTGTAGTGTTGAGGTGAGCAGCTGTCTCAGAGGGCTAGTATTATTCCATGACACTAATGAACTGATTTAAACACATTCAACAGGTCAGGCCAGACAGACAGGTTCAGTCTGGGATGAATATATCACCTCACCATCTCTCTCTTTCTGCTATCACTGTCCCTTTCACTCTCTGTCTCTTTCTATCTACTTTTTCATTCTCTCTCTTTCTTTCCCTCTGCTCTTGTCTCTCTCCCTGCTCTCTCTCTTTCTCTCTCTCCCTTCATCGCTCTATCTCTCTGCTCTCTCTCCTAATGTCTGTTATCACTCTCCCTGCTCTCGCTCTCTGTTATCTCTCTCCCTTTATCTCTCTCTGTTCTCTCTCTCCCTTTATCTCTCTCTTTCAGTTCTCTCTCTGCTCCCTCTCTGCTCTCTCTCTCTCTGTTCTCTCTCTCCCTTCATTTCTCTTTCAGTTCTCTTTCGTCTCTCTCCTTGCTCTCTCTCTGCTCTCTCTCAATTTCAATTCAATTCAATCCAATTCAAGGGGCTTTATTGGCATGGGAGACATATATTTACATTGCCAAATCAAATTGAATAGACAATAAACAAAAGGGAAATAAACAAGGGAAACATTTGTGAACATTACACTCAAAAAAGTTTTAAAATAATATAGATATTCAAAATGGTATATTATTGGCTATGTACAGTGTTGTAACAATGTGCAAGTAGTTGAAGTATGAAAGGGAAAATAAATAAACAGATACAGTAAATATATGTTTTATTTACAATGTTGTTTGTGCTCCAGTGGTTGCCCTTTTCTCATGGCAACGGGCCACAAATCTTGCTGCTGTGATTGCACACTGCATTATTTCGCCTAACAGATATGGGAGTTTATCAATGTTTGATTTGCTTTCAAATTCTTGTGGGTTTGTGTGATCTGTGGGAAATATGTGTCTCTAATGTGGTCATACATTTGGCAGGAGATTAGGAAGTGCAGCTCAGTTTGTCATTTTGTGGGCAGTGGGCACATAGCCTGTCTTCTCTTGAGAGCCAGGTCTGCCTAAGGCAGCCTCTCTCAATAACAGGGCTGTGCTCACTGAGTCTGTACATAGTCAAGGATTTTCTTAATTTGGGGTCAGTCACAGTGGTCAGTGGTCTCTCTCTCTCTCTCTGCTCTCTCTCTCTCCACTCTCTCTCTGCACTCTACTCTCTCTCGCTCTGCTGTTTCTCGGCCCCTTTCATCTCTCTCTCTCTCTGTCCATCTGCCCTTACATGTGTTTTAATGATGTGATTTCCATTAGTTGAATTTCAGAGAGAAAAGGATGTGACAAAAGCATAATCTCCATCTAATTATATGAATTAATTATACAGGATTCATGAATCTATTCCTCCACTTGTTTCCCACTTGTAATGCAATATTTGCTTTTGAGCAAATTACATTTCAATATGGTGATGCATTCAGAGAAATGTGTGTGTGCGTGTGTGTGTGTGTGCACGCTTTCTCTCTCTCTCGCTCTCTTTCTTTCTCTCTCTCTCTTCTTGTTCTTTCACCATCCCACTTGTTGTTGCTGTTTCCCCATCAACAGAATGATATAGAACAGTCAAGTATAGGATCTCTATGCCCCAATCTCTCTATCTTTCTCTCCCTCTCTCTCTCTCTCTCTCTCTCTTTCCATCTCTCTCAGTGCTCTCTCTGAGCTCTCTCTCCCTTCATCTATCTATCTCTCTCTCTCTGCTCTCTCTCTCTCTATCCCCTTCATCTCTCTCTCTCTCTCTCTCTCTCTCTCTCTCTACCCTTCATCTCTCTTTCCTCTGCTCTGTCTATCTCTCACTTCATCTCTCTCTCTCACTCTCTCTCTCTCTGTCCATCTCCCCATACATGTGTTTTAATGATGTGATTTCCATTAGTTAAATGTCAGTGAAAAAAATGACATGACAGAAGCATAATCTCCATCTAATGATATTAATGAATCATACAAGATTCATGATTCTATTCCTCCACTTTTGCTTCCCGCAGTAAGGCAAATTACATTTCAATATGTTGATGCATTCAGAGAAATGTGTGTGTGTACGTGTGTGTGTGTATGTGTGTGTGTGTGTGTGTATGTGTGTGTGTATGTGGGTGTGTGTGTGTGTATATATGTGTGTGTGTGTGTGTGTGTGTGTGTGTGTGTGTGTGTATGTGTGTGTGTGTGTGTATGTGTGTGTGTATGTGTGTGTGTGTGTGTATATGAGACATCAGCACATGCTGTTCGTCGTGTCCCTGTGTAATCTCTGCGTCTGATACTGTTTAATGGTACAGACTGTTTAATGTTGATACAATACAATACAACTTTCTATTTTCACTATGAGACCTGTTTCACCACCAGCACAACAGAAATAAGGGATTCTCTTACGAGCCATGACAGTGGTTCTAAAATAATAATAATAACCTTGTTTGGTTACTGTACAGGATGGAGAGGAGTAGGAAGCCCTTAACCAACATGAGGTGCCACCCCAAAAATGTTAACAAAGGAAAAGGCGTGACTCTTACTCTAGCTAAAAACTTGGTACTTTATTTTAAGTTCAATATTAAAATCATTACATAAATTGGTTACTACACCCAATAGTGTGTGACAACAGCTGCATGGGTTTTCCCCAATGAGGAAGAGAGAGTGGCCCTACTACCCAGAAGTGGTTGGTTGTCATGAGAATGTGTGTGTTTTTGGAACAGAAGGAACATCTCAGTTATAAAAACACATATACACTTCCTCTCAGGGGCGGACTGGTCATAGGGCATTTCAGGTAAATGCCAGGTGGGCTGGTCCATTTTTAGCACTGTGGGCCTGTCTAAATGTGTGTTTTTGGACAAAATTATAATTATTTGACTAATATGGGGGCCTCAAGAGAAAAAAGTGGTCCGGTTTCTGGTCCCAATTCGTCCCTGCTTCCTTTTCATGTCATCTGAGAAGAGACAGACCATAGAGACCACTTATCTCTACGAGAGACTCTCCCAAACTGCCATCTCTCTCACACACACATACAAGGAATCACATTGGTGACGTGGGTTGCTGAATGTTTTCTCTCCACATGAAAATTAGTTCTCCCTACCTCTCCCTCCCCCATATCCCCCTCTTCCTTCTCTCTCCCCATTTCCCCCTCCCCCCTCCCTCCCTCCTCCCCTCCCCTCCTCTGTGTCCCTGGCCATGGTTACATTCCACAGGCACACAGCTCACAGGGACATGAGACTTACCAAGAAGGATGACCAGGCAATACCAGCAGCCCCAGGCTGGTAGGTAGGCCTACAAACCACTGCCGTTGTGTCCTTGAGCAAGGCACTAACCCCAAAATTGCTCTCCATCCACAGGTGCTATTCTAATCAAATGGACAGTAAATTATGTATTCACTCTATTCCACAATGGTTTGGTGTGAACATATATTTCTTAAAGTAGTCTGACATTACTTTTATTGATCAGATAGGCCTACTGTAAAACAACATCCGTATTTTTGGGCCCTAGCTAGCAGTATGCCTGTGCTCTCAAATGACACTGGTGATGTCACAAGCTTGGAGCAGGGAAGACACGCTGGAGTGCGTATCCAATTGCATTGCCCCAAATTCACACCCCGAGCGTTTCACGTTGTTTTACGTCTGCAACGTGAAGTAACGAGTGTCGGTCTGTGGCACCAAACAGCGAGCGGCTCGGTTTTGCCTGACCTGAAATATGCCACATTCACACAGGATCGACATGTATCACCAAACTAGAAATGGCAATCTTCCCGCAGCCTGACTGAGTAAGCTAGCCAGCCACTTAGCTACCTCCTAGACCAGGTTAGCTGAGTGTAGTCGGCGCATCACAAACAAACAATCAGCTACGGAGAGGAGAAGATGGCGGAGTACTCGCCTGTCCTGCCGATGAGGGATGGTGGAGCGAGGTTTGGCCTTGGACAGCCCATCTTTCCTCGCTCCCGGTCCGGTTCTGAATCAGATAGTGAACTGTCACAGAGCCTGGCCCGAACCAAGATCCGGTCGTACGGGAGTACGGCTAGCGTCGCGGCTTCTCTCGGCGAGAAATACATAGAGCATCGGGTGACAGACAGCGACACTTTGCAAGGGATAGCCCTCAAATACGAAGTAACGGTAAGGTTATTACCGGTATATACACACGTCTTGTGTGTTATGGTTGTGGATATACAAATGTGAAATCACATTCATTTGTTTTGATCATCTGGCATGCATGCGAGCATTTTTGGGACCACCTATTTGCTAAATTGTCATATGATGGTCGCGAGTATAATAAAATCAGTGCTTGCAAGATTAGCCTAGACCTACTACACGATTAAATTATTCTTAGATCCAAACATGTATGACTTACTCTCGTGATACCTGAATGCAACGGACGGACTGGACAGGCTTCGAACCATGAACTTCAGGAAGTATCAGATTTAAGATTCAAGGCCTGAGCGTCCCTGCTCAACTGTTACTGTTAGCTACATTCTTACTGTTACATTGTTGCATTAACAACATGGTCATGAGTCATAACAGAATGTACTACAATGTAGCAATGTTGGCTACTGTATCCTTACCTGTAGAATACTGGAACAAACAGGCAACACAAGGGTTTGTGTGATCTTGTTTGAGCAACTTCAGCCACATGCAGTGTTTGGCTCTCTGGCAGTCTTCATTCCCATCTCTGTAGTTCACTGTCACTGATGACCAACGTGGGCAACTCCAGTCCTGAAGGAGCACAGTGTGCTGGTTTTCGTTTAATTGGGTGTGTTGGGGTGGAACAAAAGCTTGCACACACTGTGTCCCTCCAGGACTGGAGTTGCCCATCCCTGCCCTAGGGGCTTCTAGGAATGTCTGTCTTCCTGAACATCAGCGTGCATTGCTCACCTCACACCCAATAACATGTGTTACTAACTAAATTAGTATTTGTAGTGATACTGTTATTACTGCTTTGTGTTATTACTATCTTATTAGCATTGCTATTTGTTATGACTGCTTTATGACTGCAGTTATTGATACTGATATTACTGCTTTGTTACATGTTATTAATACTGTTATTATTGTGTTATACCATGTTATTAATACTGTTCTAATCGTTATGTCACATATATGATTCCAGATGGAGCAGATTAAGAGGACCAACAAGCTGTTCAGTAACGACTGTATCTTTCTGCGTAACACCCTCAACATCCCTGTCGTCTCAGAGAAGACCTCTCCCTTCAACGGCCTGTCTCTAGAGTCCCCCGACGGAGAGCCCCAGGACCAGGACTTCAACCCCCTGTGTGTGGGGCAGGACAGGGACAGGGACACTGAGGAGGACCCCTCGCTGCCCCTGGCCCCTGGCCCCGGGGAAAAGGACAGTAGTAGTTCTAAACGGCCCCAGCCAGAAGAGCTGTCAGCTCAAGACTTCCTCCACAGACTGGACTTGCAGATTAAACAGTCAAAGCAGGCAGCACGCAGGCTCAAAGAAGAGGAAGTGAGGTAAGAGACGGAATACGCTGAGGTGGTGATAGCCAATCACATGGGTTTCGTCCAAAATGGCACCCTATTCCATATTTAGTACACTACTTTTTGACCAGGGCCTATAGGGCTATGGTCAAAAGTAGTGCACTATGTTCAGAATAGGGTGCCATTTGAAGTAGGGAACTATATAGGTAATAATGTGTAATGTCAGATGTGCCCCTGGCACACTCAGTGAACCACATTGAACTGAACAACTGAGTTGACAAGCATTTTCCTTATCCCTTCTGCATACCACAAGACGTGTTAGCCCGCTGAGCTAAAACCAATGAATCAGCTTGGGGTAGGTAACACAAATCCTCAATTCTCAGCAAAGTGGTAGGAGCTAGGGGTGGTTTTCAGACTAGCAATTCAGACTAGTAGTTGTCCTTTAGCCAACTCTTGTCTTCGTTAAAAGTTGCTTCGTCCAGGCACATCAATCAAACCAGCGGTCCAATCAGCAGACTGCCTGTGAGTGTGACGTCGAATCAGAAAGCTGCCAGTGTAAGTGTGATGTGTGACGTCCTGCTTACACAGATGCAGGTGACGGATGCCTGTCAGATTCTGCATTCCCATTGGCCAGTGCCCCTCTCTCCTGGCCTGCGATTGGCTGCTAGTCATAAATGCTGAGTCATGCGGACTTCCTGCCAAACTGTGGGTGGTGAGGGGCTGAGATCAGGAGTGTGTGTGTGTGAGAGAGAGATGGAGAGAGAGTGTGAGGGGGTGTGCGTAGGAGGCTGAGACCAGAAGATGCTGTCACTGCAGATGCCTTCACCCTGTGTGTGTGTGTGTGTGTGTGTGTGTACTGATGCGTCAGGAGAGAGAGTTGTCCATCAACAGTGTCTTGGTCTGTTCTCAGCCCACCTGACTCCCAGTGTAGCCTAACGTTTAAACCTCTATTCTATTACTGCTCAGATTCCCTTCCAAACGGATGACAGTACAGGACTGAGAGACAAGCAAACAACAAGCAATGTAGGGTAGGGGCCATCTAGGGGAGTAGGGGCCATCTAGGAGAGTAGGGGCCATCTAGGAGAGTAGGGGCCATCTAGGGGAGTAGGCTCTATCTAGGGGAGTAGGGGCCATCTAGGGGAGTAGGGGCCATCTAGGGGAGTAGGGGCCATCTAGGGGAGTAGGGGCCATCTAGGGTAGTAGGGGCCATCTAGGGGAGTAGGCTCTATCTAGGGGAGTAGGGGCCATCTAGGGGAGTAGGGGCCATCTAGGGTAGTAGGGGCCATCTAGGGGAGTAGGGGCCATCTAGGGTAGTAGGGGCCATCTAGGGGAGTAGGGGCCATCTAGGGTAGTAGGGGCCATCTAGGGGAGTAGGGGCCATCTAGGGGAGTAGGCTCTATCTAGGGGAGTAGGGGCCATCTAGGGTAGTAGGGGCCATCTAGGGGAGTAGGGGCCATCTAGGGGAGTAGGGGCCATCTAGGGAGTAGGCTCTATCTAGGGGAGTAGGCTCTATCTAGGGGAGTAGGGGCCATCTAGGGGAGTAGGGGCCATCTAGGGGAGTAGGGGCCATCTATGGGAGTAGGGGCCATCTAGGGGAGTAGGGGCCATCTATGGGAGTAGGGGCCATCTATGGGAGTAGGGGCCATCTAGGGGAGTAGGCTCTATCTAGGGGAGTAGGGGCCATCTAGGGGAGTAGGGGCCATCTAGGGGAGTAGGGGCCATCTATGGGAGTAGGGGCCATCTATGGGAGTAGGGGCCATCTAGGGGAGTTGGGGCCATCTAGGGGAGTAGGCTCTATCTAGGGGAGTAGGGGCCATCTAGGGGAGTAGGCTCTATCTAGGGGAGTAGGGGCCATCTAGGGGAGTAGGGGCCATCTAGGGGAGTAGGGGCCATCTAGGGGAGTAGGGGCCATCTAGGGGAGTAGGCTCTATCTAGGGGAGTAGGGGCCATCTAGGGGAGTAGGGGCCATCTATGGGAGTAGGGGCCATCTAGGGGAGTTGGGGCCATCTAGGGGAGTAGGCTCTATCTAGGGGAGTAGGCTCTATCTAGGGGAGTAGGCTCTATCTTGGGGAGTAGGGTCCATCTAGGGGAGTAGGGGCCATCTAGGGGAGTAGGCTCTATCTAGGGGTTGATTTGGAATTCAGCATAAGTCAGGCCTGAGCTTGTCTCGCTGACTGCGTGCTGAGACACAGTCACGTCTGTGAAGATCGGCTAGTTGGCTGGCATGTGAACGAACACACACACACATTTAGTTAGAGGAACTGCCAAGTCAGTACTGAGTCACGCTGGCAGCAGCTGCAGTCTCTCCCTTCACACACTTCTCTCTCTCAGGCAGGCAGGCGGGACGCGGGAGGCAACGGCTACAATAATGATACTGGTAGGTAGGTGAAAAACTGCTAGGACCCGCTAGTCTAGCTGGCTAGGCCAGGGGCTGCATCCACACAGCGTCTCAGAATAGGAGTGCTGATATAGGATCACTTTTGCCTTTTAGATCACAATGAATAACGCTTACAATATGCTTCCCAGTTGAAACAGTTTGTGCATATATTATGACTACATTTTGTGTCATTTTGGTTTGTTTTGGTGTTCGGCAGGTTTCTTTCCGGCTGTTTGAGCACACAACATTTTTTCTTCGGTAGCCGAAGTCTACGCCCCTTCGTCGGTGATTGGTCAACAGTACGGATTCTTCAATTAAGTGTTTGTTGTCATTCAACGACAGGCAACTAGTTCTCATGCACATTTTGTTCACTTGAGAAATACTGCTCCAGATAATACTGTATCTTAGTTGGATGTAAAATTGCGCGACCAAAACGTCAAAATGAATGACAGATTTATTGAGTTATCTTAGATGAACTGTGGTTTAAAAGCTGTGTTACAGGATTGATAGGAAATGTAATCATTTCCTTGAAGTGAAACTGGTTTAAACGGGCAATCTGGGATTCGAAAAACAACAAACCCTGCCACTTGTTTTGGTTAACAGCTGAGGGATGCGGAAGGAGAAATGTAACCACTCTCACATTTTTTAATAAAGAGCTATGGTTGCAAGAGAAATATAGTTTTAATATAGTTTTGAATCTATGGAGTAAAACAAGCTTTACATGATCTGAAACTGGGTTAGATGTTCTGCAGCTGAGGACAGTCCTAGTTGGTAACATGCAGTCTGTGCTGTCACTCTGACACACACCTGCTGGTCTAATTGGAATGTGGGTTGCCGTGGTGCCTGAGTGAGTCTGTGAATAATGGATGAACAATGCTCGGGGAGCAGTGTGGTACTCAGTACATACACAGTGCTCAGGTCACAGCAGTAGACTGACCTAACCACTGGGATCTAATGGTTAAGGTGAGAGGCTTCCACCTTTCCTTCCTCTCCACCTCTCTTTCATCTACACCTCTCCTTCCTGTCCACCTCTCCTTCCTGTCCACCTCTCCTTCCTGTCCACCTCTCTTTCCTGTGCACCTCTCTTTCCTGTCCACCTCTCTTTCCTGTCCACCTCTCTTTCCTGTCCACCTCTCCTTCCTGTCCACCTCTCTTTCCTGTCCACCTCTCCTTCCTGTCCACCTCTCTTTCCTGTCCACCTCTCTTTCCTGTCCACCTCTCTTTCCTGTCCACCTCTCTTTCCTGTCCACCTCTCTTTCCTATCTACCTCTCTTTCCTGTCCACCTCTCTTTCCTGTCCACCTATCTTTCCTGTCCACCTCTTTCCTGTCCACCTCTCCTTCCTGTCCACCTCTTTTTCATAGAACTGTCGGTGTTGGTTATTTTGGGTTTATGGTCCAAGCTACTGTAGACTATTGAGATGCAACCCTATTAGGCCACATAGGAGGACACATCCCTCTGCAGACTGATCTATCAGCTAATTATAGACCTGCCAGGAAAGAGAGAGAAAAGGGGAGGGGGGGAGTGTGTATGAGGGCAGCAAGGACTAAAGGAAGAAGGAGAGGAAAGAAAGCAAGGAAGAAAAAAGGAAGTAAGTTTGGCAGAAAGAAGGGAGAGAAGATGGAAGGTGCTAAGAAGTGGTGAAGAGAAGACATAACGGGTGAAGGAAGGGGCTAAGGAGTAGTGAAGAGAATACATAACGGGTGAAGGAAGGGGCTAAGGAGTAGTGAAGAGAATACATAACGGTTGAAGGAAGGGGCTAAGGAGTGGTGAAGAGAAGACATAACGGGTGAAGGAAGGGGCTAAGGAGTGGTGAAGAGAAGACATAACGGGTGAAGGAAGGGGCTAAGGAGTGGTGAAGAGAATACATAACGGGTGAAGGAAGGGGCTAAGGAGTGGTGAAGGGAAGACATAACGGGTGAAGGAAGGGGCTAAGGAGTAGTGAAGAGAATACATAACGGGTGAAGGAAGGGGCTAAGGAGTGGTGAAGAGAAGACATAACGGTTGAAGGAAGGGGCTAAGGAGTGGTGAAGGGAAGACATAACGGGTGAAGGAAGGGGCTAAGGAGTGGTGAAGAGAATACATAACGGGTGAAGGAAGGGGCTAAGGAGTGGTGAAGAGAAGACATAACGGGTGAAGGAAGGGGCTAAGGAGTGGTGAAGAGAAGACATAACGGGTGAAGGAAGGGGCTAAGGAGTGGTGAAGGGAAGACATAACGGGTGAAGGAAGGGGCTAAGGAGTGGTGAAGGGAAGACATAACGGGTGAAGGAAGGGGCTAAGGAGTGATGGATAAGAAGGGAGAGAGGGAGTGTGGCAGTGATTAGGCTAACGCTTATTCATCCCAGCCATCACACCTCTAATAGGAATGTAACAACTCCATGGGAGGGTTGACACACTGAGGCCGGCGCACCATGTGACTTCTCATTCTCTGTCTACCTCTGTACAATTAAAATATTATAGGACCTTGTTTACAGATAACTTTAAAAAACCCATGATCAGCAAATACTGTATATTATAAACTGGGTGGTTAGATCCCTGCATTCTGATTGGCTGACAGCCGTGGTATATCAGACCATATACCATGGGTATGACAAAACATTTATTTTTGCTGCTCTAATTACATTGGTAACCAGTTATAAATAGCAATAACGCACCTCAGGGGTTTGTGGTATATGGCCAATATACCACGGCTAAGGGCTGTATCCAGGCACTCCGCGCTGTCGCGCTTATGGAACAGTCCTTAGCCGTGATATATTGGCCATATACCACACCCCCTCGTGCCTTGTTGCTTAATTAACTCAGTGGGTTATCATCCTCTGTACCTGACACAGGCGGCTGGTGGCCCCGTCATTGGGGAGGACAGGCTCATAGTAA